AGTCTAAAAAGGCAACTGGAAAAAATAGAGTACCTTCGTTGGTATCATTCTTTGTAGCTCTGATTATAAGCCCCTGTCCTATAACCCCACATTCAAAATACATGTATACACGAAAATCATAATAAAAAATTGAACTAATTGAATGAATGAGCTTACTGTTGAAAGAAAGAGCAATTGGTGTTGAAGCAAACTGTGGATTCCGAGTTGAGCACTGAAAATTAATATAAATGAATGGCTATATAATGACACAAAGAAAGTGGGAAAATATAATACAAACCTGAGGAAATGCACGAGGTTGGAGCAAAAAATCTATTGTTCGAGCAAATGGAAAGGAAGGAGAAGCAATGGAAGGTTGCGTGGGAAAATTGAGGAGTAGGTGATTGCGTGAGATAATGGAGGAGGAGGAATGACTGTGGGGGAATTTTTGACGAATTTCAAGGAATTTTTTTTTTTTTAAAATGAGGGATTTTTGACGACGATGGGAAATGGCGACACATGTGGCCTTTGCTTTGCCTCCTTTAATATATAGTGATAAAAATTTACGCACTTGAGTTTGGATTATTCTCGTACGTAATCCGTCTTGGGGCCAATTGAGTTTGGATTCTATTAGGGCGAATTAGGCTTAATACGACCCATTAATTAAATAATTGATTAATAGAATTTGACTTTTCAAAATTTTCACTAAACATGAATTAACCGTATATTATACTGTACGAATAAAACCAGCCTAACCAAACTCTATATTTTCAATTATATAAATTATGTTTTTTAATGTATGTAACTAGTAGTAAGCCTGGTACTAGTCTTCTGCCTTAAGTGGACATATCAGTTTCATATAAGGTTTATAATTTTGTATTAGCCAAAAAAAAAAGTGACGGAATAAGAAATTTATGTTAATAGTAATAACCTCGTATTTTGGTCAAAACAACTGGTGACTAAACAAACCACTCTCACTGTAGCGAGTGACCATCAACTCCCAAAACTAGTGTATCCACGACATGCTACGTCATCACCACAACGTGAAAGCGCGTGGACGATCTGTACACTGCACAGTGAAGGGCGGCTAAGCATAACTATCTGCAACGGCAGAAAATGCCAAAACTCTGCCCCCCAAAACCCCCACTACCCCAGAGGCCCCATGATGGTGGTGTGGGGTGGGGTGGAGCTTCTTGTGAGTCCCACCTGGATTGAAAGGAAAAGTCAAGCGCCACTGAGCAAAATATGCTGGTTGGTCCCATTTTGATTCCCATCGAGTATTTTTCGAGTAAGTGCTACGTAACAAAATATATCTATCGATCCAATTCTGGTTAAGATGGTTTTCGATAAAAATGTCCACTCCTCTCGCACTCTACCTTTTGTGTTGGAAGAGCTACTTGTGGGTCCCATTTGGTTAGAAAGGAAATTTTAAAGTGCTACAGAGCAAAATATATACTTGCGCGTATATATACATATGATTTATATGATGCAATTAATGTTGCTGGTGGGTGGTGGTCGTGGGGTTATTATAATTTGTGCTTTAGTTTTGAAATTTTAGAAGCAGCCAAGACATGTATAGAGAATCTTTTTAGAGAGAGAGAGAGAGAGTATTGAATTGAATAGTTTCAACTTTTGAGGGGAGAGTCAAGGGAGGGGACATGCCCAGTTTCATCCCTACAAACGGGTTCCTTGTTTCTCCAATTCTTGGCAGCAGATCCCAAAGGTCCCCTCTCTCCTTCTCATATCCTTTGCACTATACCCCACCCCCCCACCCCAACACACACACAGAGATACATATATACGAATTTATATATGCTGTAGGTTTATATTTGTAGGCTCATTTGCACTGTTGAATCCATAGTTTTGGTTTGTGGGATTTGTTGATTATATGTATTTAGCTTTGGATTCTTGAATGCATGTGGGGTTTGAGGTTCATATGGTATGCTACTGGTGATTCTGTATATTGAGGATGAACTTTTGAGTAAAGTTCTTGACTTTTCAAATATAAATTTTTTTTCTTCTCTCTTTCTATAGTAAATTTAATCTGAGGATATGAGATTATGGGTTTTGATTCTCATGCTTAATCTAAGAAAATTAATTTTAGTGATGTATTTGGGGACTTTGCCTCACATCTCGCCCCTTATGTTCCATTTGCGAGGTTTTGTCTTGCATTTTTGCAAAACATTCTATTACTGGCTATTTTCCTTTCTTTTATTGGTTTATTTATGTTTGTCATGAGCTAAACTCTTAATTTTGTTAATTTTTTTTATTTTGGATTTTTTGAAATGGTGTATGATTAATTATCAGCATATTTTTGTACTGAATTATTTATTAGTCTATCTCGAGGCTTACGCCTAGCCTCACTTGGGCAAAATGCCTCGGTACCTGATTAAACCTTTTAAACATTGAGAGTACTATTACCCTTAGTGATAGGAGAAACTTTGCATATAGATTGGACTATTCTTTTTGAGTTGCATCCTCAATCAGGGAAGAAAGAATTCTGTGTATTGAGTTACTTTATTTATTTATTTCTCTTTTGGGAATAAGCTTGTTTCATCGCTAATTGTGTTTCTTAATCGAGTGAAAGATGGACGCTCTTTTAGATTTTGTAAAGGGGACTCATAATCTCTTCACTGGCCTGATCACTATAATGCGAAATGTAATTACTTTCACATTTATTATTTACTAGGGCATTAAAGTTAACTCTTTAGTTTTCTTATGTAGGATTTTTGTATCAAGCAAGATGCATAGTAATTTTTGGTATCCATGAACTTTTGGTACTGTTTTGTTTGGCTGTCAAGATTTCTTTTTCTCTATAAGACTTTTTGAAGTTAACCCCATTCTAAGCCAAAGATAATCTATTTGAGTAGGTAATCAGTTCTTGTTAGGTGATTACTTCATTAATTGTAAGCTCGCATTATGAACAGAAAATTCACCAACTTCTACTTTGAATCAATTGTGTAGTGTTAAATAATCCACTAATTAAATTTGAGTGAGTGATTTTTGCCTGTTTTGGTGTTTCGGATTTTTATGTTGATTTCTTCGATTTTTGCTTTGGTGACTTNATTTATTTATTTATTTATTTGTTTGTTTGTTTGTTTATTATTTTTTTTTCTGTGGATTGTTGATTGTATTACCCGAATCCTTTGTTGCAACGATTTTATTTTTGATGACTGGATAATTGAACTTCTAGTTAGTACAAGTTGCGAAGTGTTCAAAAACGTCAATTTTCAACTGATAAAGGTTGGGTTGGATATTGAAGAATGAAAATGTCATAGCCAATGATTTTATTATAATTTGCAGTAGTCTATAACATAGTCGGTCATTTTGTTTTTTCATATAATTTTTTTATCATTTTCCTTCCCCTTTTCTTTAGAAAAGAGGGATCTTCCAAACCTTAGCTGAGTTGAATAAGTTTGTGGACTTGGGCTAATTCAGCGTAAAGAAATGAAAGATTTCTCCATCTGCAACTTCATTGTTATTATGGAAGCAAATGAAAGGGAGTTTTGTTCTGAGTTTTTCTATGATGACCTTTTTCTTTATGAGTTTCATCTGGCAGAATGCTAGATACGGGTTAAATTGGTAGGAGGGTTTCGCTATTTTATGTAATTTATGCCTCTGGAAATTCGATTTGATGTACCATTCTATGCTTGTTGTTCCTCGAATTGATTCATAAATGCCAGTTTACACTACCGTGCTGCTATGTAGACTCTATCTTAGAGATGATCAATGCAACCAAATGTATTCATGTTATCTTTTTCTCAAGCAGCTAATGCCTAATGTGAATCCAAAAGTGTTCCTCGTTGCGTTCAGAAAGTATGAGTTATGCCTCGGGATTTGGCTACTTCACTAAGTAATGGCTGTACGCACAGAACTTACCCAAGACAATTGTTGAACAATTTTCTTTCTGTTCAGTACTTGCAATATATTGCATTATAAATTGCTCATCTTGGCAGAATTTGCACGAAAAGTTCACTGAAACGTCACCAAAAAATCTCAGTTCCAAAGTAGAATATCCTTCTCAACATTTAAGTTTTCAACTTCAAGACCAACACTCGTCCTCGACTCAATCAACAGGCTCTAATCACGAAGTGACTGCTATGGGGAAGACAAGTTCTCAAGATCAATGTGCTTCGTCAGACTCTGGTGGTAGTGAATTTCATTTAAAATTTCTTGTTTTATATTTCATTTGTTAGTTACAAACAAACTTCACTATTTTTCACTGCTGATACCTACTGACATGTTTGGCTGAGCTTGAGAAATGGTAAAAGTTACTTTAGTTTCCAAATATTTTCGGTTGTTATTTTTTTCTTACTAAAGAAAGTTGCTTATTTTGAAAGTTAATCTTACGTTACTGTCAAAATAAGTGACTTGCTCATTTTAAACTTTGACTAGTAAAAAAATTGTTTCTTTTAGAACTTAATGCTATCCTTTCAATCGGTTTTAGTACACGATCAAAGCTATGGA